ACAAGAAAGCTTCGCAACTAACCAAATCATTTTAAAACAGTGGCATACTTCTTTTATTTACCCATAATCGAGACTCAAGACTCTGGGGGCTGGGGTGGCAAGCTGTGTTAAGGCATGTAACATTTCTCTGTTCTTTTGGACTACCTTGTTTAATTAAATTTTCATATCCTCAGCCAAATACATCAAAACAAAACCTTTACTGTATACACACTCATGAACACCTGTGTGTGAGTGCATGCGAAAGCTCTTCCAATCAACCTGCAGCCTCTGGAAATGTCATTAGGAGACACACCGGTACGGGGAGGATGGAAGCTGGGTATTCATAAAGGGGTGGGCAAAAGTAGGTTTACAGTTGCACACAGCATTCTTTTGAGTTAATAAAACTATTGTAATAATCGTAACCTGCATGTCTTTTTCTATATGAACGGTAAGCCTACTTTTGCAATTTGAATATTTCCCAATGGAACAATGACATAAAGTTGTTGAGGCACTGTGTTGAAACTGAAAAAAAAATAGACGGTTAGTGGCACTGAGAGTTAAAGTGGTATTGGATCTAAGGTTAATGTCTACAGGCAGAAAAAAAACATTTCTATACATATGCAATGGGAATGGTATTGGTTATTTACTAGAACATCAGATCACATATATTTGGACAACTATCTCCAAAAACGTCCAATTTACTTTAAAGACTAAAGAATGAATATCTGCTTAAACACTAACAAAACTGATTTAAATAAACCCCTCAATTTCAGCAAATCTAGAGAGGTTGTGGACAAAAGACTAGTTTACGTAATAACGTCTACTAAATAAGCTATATTCTATGGACATAGTAAGTTAGTATAAACAGGTAATATATGAGATTTATCCTCAGGACGCTTGGGAAGTAATTTTGGATTTACTCAACTACTTGAATGTGTTGTATATAGTTGTAGCTACTTACAATGAAATATTTAAACCTCAAAAAATCTAAACATTATTATTAAAATTTCCCACAAAGATTTCAGTTCAGCAATCTGGTCACACACGCTGTGTTCAATCAGTTCCACAAAGTGCTTGGCTCCACACCACAGGGCAGAATGGCTCTAAGTGCACATGGTGCAGTCATGTCCCAGGTGCATGCTCTCAAACTACTTCCAGGGTATGAGGATGAATCACACTCTAAGACTACAGACACAATTTCCTTGCCGCCACCACACAGAATGTGGAATTTGAATGCGTCAGGCTAGTCATGCGATTAAACTCCTGATCCACAGCACAGAATGAAAGGGACTGGAATAATCTTCAGTCAGAGGTGGCTGCCATAAATTGTTCTAGTCTGCTCTCTTTTCTGCTTAACTATCTGAGGAAGGCCACTCTGTAGCTTTATATAACCTCTACCTTCATTCTTTAAGTATGACAATTTTATTCCAATTAAAATAAAAACTGAATTATGCTTTGTAATAAACACCTCATCTTCCTCAAACAGAACGCATGGCTGTTTGTGTTCCTCATCCATGTGTTTAAACATTGACAGTGTTAAGTAAAGACTAGATGCAGATTAGTTTCCATTTTTATTAAAGTTGTATTTTTCCAAGCAATATGTTACACTTAAAGTTCAATACCATAAATAAAGATTAGTTTTTAAATCTTCTATTTTACTTATTAAGAATGTAAACATAAAAGAAAAATAATTAACCACTCCTTACCCAACCCTGACTAAATCTCTCTCTCTCTCAGAGACAGACAGACACACACACACACACACACACACACACACACACACACACACACACACACAGTCATCCCTTCAGGTAAGTTCTTTCTGAAGAATGAGTACCACAGACTTCATTAAAATGTTAGTCCTCCTGGGCGGTAAGGACATGGCACGAATGACTGGAGCCCACTATAAAACAGGTCTGTGGGGCTGTGATTGAAGTCCACCTCCTCCTGACAGGACTGCTGAGAGCCAGGCTCTTCTCCTTCCATTTAGCTTCCAAGGGCATGGACAGTGCTAAGGCACCAAGCTCACAACACTATGATGAACATGGTGTGCAAGCTGGCATATGCCAAGAAGAGGTGAACCAGAGCCAGCAGTGACCTAGCAATTCTGGATGAGTATTAGTCATAGAATATTAGAGCTGGAAAGATTCTGAGAAAGCATCTGGTCATTTTACAGATGGTTTCAACCAGCGAGTCTTCTAATATTGAAGAGAATGTTGATACTGAATTTTATAGAATACTGTAGTATACTTATTTATGTATCTTCCTAAAACTATATAAACTTCATTGATTTATGTTTCAAGTATTGATAAAATCTAAGCCAACTTATTAGACTGAAACTAATTTTAAGAATAATTTATAACATTTTTAGAATATCTGTTTGGTCTTAACAAAAATAAGTATCCTTAAAAAATAAGCAATGGAAAAAGGATGTTTTTCAGGAGAATATTGGAGGGATTTGCATGAAGACTTTCTAACTGCTTGCCAGTTTCTTTAAAGCTGTCAGCTCAAGTCTACTGACATGGCTTTTGCTTCCTTCTGGTAAATTCTGTTCTTGAAAACCTGAGAGACAAATTCACTTGATACCATTGGGACCTTAACACTATTAAAATAAGCCTAAGTCCAAACTGAAAACTGAGGTAGTCAATTTTTATAAGCACTTGATACTTTCTGAGCCAGAAAGGGACTCAAATCCCCAAATCAGCTACTCCTCATTCTCCTTCTCTACCCCACCTCCCTTCCACCATAGCTGCTGTCTGCCAAGTCTCTTTTTCAGTGACCCGGTTTTGCTAACATGAAGGGCAAAACCTACCACAGAATAATGACATTTATGCCATTTCTAATTCTTCAGTTCAAAGCTGAATTCTAGCCCACTAATTCTGCATTGAAATCTCATATATTAAGTCTTTGTTTTAGATATTGTCATAATCTAAGTGACTAAAATGTGTCTCTTAAAATTTCTTACAGGATGAATGGCCTTCTAAGTCTTCACTGAGTAAACTATGCAGAATCGGTGATAAGCAACCACTTTTAAGACTTTAAGAGAAAAAGGACACCAGCTCATTTAGCTACCCTCAGAAATTCAAGATTCGTTAACATCACACTTTATCAAGTTTCATATTTGTGCAGAGAAAACACAGGGCTACCAGATTCCAAGATTAATAAATATATATACAAAAAATGTCATCTATAATATTTTCTCCAGAGTCATTAGTGCAAATATAATTGTATCAATAAAAAATAAAGTAAAAATATATTTCAAGTATAAAAAGCACCATGCTCAGAAACAATACTACCTAAATGGCATTACTGCACAACAGTCAAAATATAATCAAACCTATCATTGTTTGCATAAATCTCAAATGTATTCTTAATCCATAGTACTTTTGGTGAAATTCTTTATACAACTTTGCAGGATGATTCATAATTACAATAGGAATATAAGTTAGATTTTTATAATTTTCTTTAAAAATATACTCTACACTTTTCTCAGACCTTGCTCGATTTAAGGTATACATGACATGGGCAGAAAATAGAGCACTGACCTGACACCTTCTACCATCAGCTTCTCTTTAGCTGAAGTTGGATATGCTACAGACCCCCAGCTTTTCACAAGGACAAATATCTTCAATTCAAAACTGCATGTTTAAATACATATTTAAAATGCATGCATTAAAAAAGGCAACTTTCCTTTATACTGGGGTTGCTGTTTGGGCCCAGTGCCAGTCAGCTGGAATTATCCTTAGTAATTATACTACCTGGTCATTTGCACAATTTCTTACATAGAGTGCTCAATAACTATATGCTAAATTTAAGAGCTAACCAATGAGTGAAAGAATGAATGCATGAATGCTTGTCCAAGGGCTGTGTTTATAATGCCACAGGACTTTATTAGCTTTAGAGAGAAAAACTGGGCATCAGTCATCATTAAAGAATTTAATTAGTAAAGCGGGGTTGGTAAGCTCCAGAGCAGAATTGCTTCTACGGACAAGAATCTATGTGGTAACAGAAGTGTCAATAGCAGGAGGTAAAGGACATGACCTCCTTTGAAAGCAAAGGCTATCTTCCAACTACTGAGGATTAAGCCATGTGTTGTATGGAAAGTGGACACTACTGGATAGGCCGTACACCAAACCTACACTTTGCTATTGGTAAACAATTCAGATGATCTTGTTTTGATTTATATTTTTCTTCTTACATATAAAATAATTTTCAGATAGAAGTTCTTCTGAAACAATTCCTAAGTCCATGTGAGGACAACCGCATATTTGTCTACACCAGAATTTCTTTTTATCTCTATTGTTCAAAAAATAATAGTTCTATTTTTGTAGAATTACTGTTGTTGTAACTATTATCTGAAAAGTATACATTATGTTTTCTTCTGTTTGTATGTCTTCAATGTTTTTTACAGGGCACATTACTTTTCTTTCTCTGCTTCTACAGCTTTTCAAGTCAATATTTAGACAAATGGAGAATACAACAGGAAACTGAGCTATGAAGATCAATTAAGTAACAGATACAGCTGGGCGAGGGCTACCAATATGTAATGATTCAACAGTAAACTGAACCACACAGCTAGTTTGAAAAAGGCAAGCATGGTTAAATTATAAGATTTGGTAAAATGTAGTTTTAAAAAACAATTTTTAGAACAATGAGAATGATGATTTAAGTGTACCATGTACAGCCATTAAATTCAAAATAGGTATAACAGCAATGTAGAATCCTCAATTCAATTATTTTCCGTAAGTCAAAGGACAAATTTATACTTCTGGGGACAGGATCCACAACTTATAATCTTGCCGTTCTTTAAATTATTGCAGTCTTGATGAACTTTCTCATCATTTTAGGTTAATGAGAATGCTGAGAAATGTAATCTGAAAATTTCACCAATATCCCATTTTCAAAAGAAAATTTCAGGAAGGTTATGCATCCTGAAAAATAAAGAAACTCAATGTCTTGGAATTCCTTCACCTTCTCCAAGATGAGGCTGTTGGGATGCTGATGAAGAATAAGTGCTGTGAAGCTCTGCTTCAAGGCCTGATTGTGGTCAACACTTTCAAGCCAAAGTCAGGAATGCCACCTCTGCCATCTGCATAGGCTGGTACTCGCCCAGATTTTGTGCTTTGTTCAGAGGCACATGACACAAAGGAATGCTTTGAGAATTCTCTTTTCCATTCCTAGTGCCATACACACAGAAGAAATCCAGCCAGCAGAGGAAACAGATTGCCTAGGAGAAGCCAGAAGGTGACCACCAGGCTAGAGGAACGGGAACAGAGATCTAGGGTTGAAAACAAAAAATTGACTTTCTATAGACATTTTTGGAATATATCATATCAACTAAACACTGACAGGTGAATATAAGTAATTATTAAAGGTGAACAAGGACCACCTTGAAGAGCAAATTCAAGAACGACTTCCCAAAGCCCAAATATGTAAAGTCATTTTTTTTGCATTTTTGGGAAAAGAACAAAATATTTATGCAGGAAGAAAAAAAGATGTACACACCATATCAAGTTTAAAAAATAGCACCCAAGAAGAGAAAGAAGCGTCTTTGGCTAGTATCTCAGCAAAATTAAAGATACTACACAGGGCCCTGGGTGGGTGGCTCAGTTGGTTGGAGCGTCATCCCTACACCAAAAGGTTGTGGGTTCGATTCCTGTCAGGGCACATACATAGGTTGCAGGTTCAGTCCCTGGTCAGGGCACATACAGGAGGCAAATGATTGATGTTTCTCTCTCTCTCTCTCTCTCTCTCTCTTCATATATATATGTATGTATGTCTATAATCTCCCCACCATTCCTTCTTGCTCTCTAAAATCAGTTGAGAACATATACTCCGGTGAGGATTAAAAAAAGATTCTACACAGGAAAGTAAATTAGTATCTTGGCTATTCTGACATGGGAAGTAGAACTCTCTTCTGCTCTTCCTTGTCCCTTTTCTGATGGTAACCACATAATTTATCATCCCAAATCAGGACATTTTGAGACAAGTGTTGAAATACATTGTTAGTTCCAAGATGGTGCCACATCAGCAAACTGAAACTTAGATAAAATCCATGTGCTTGACCAGAAACACAGTATATCCAGTCAGCCAATCACCAACCAACAAGCCAACTCAGGGTTCTATACTTACTTCCTTGTTCCTTGGTCTTTCAAAATAAGGTCAGATATACAACCCTGGCCAATCAACTTAAGCCAAGTGCTTCTTCTTTGTTTCCTGTTTGCAGCCCTTTTCCCTTACTTTGCAATTCTCTGGACTCTGGAGAGTGGAGACTGCCCCCTTCATGAAGTATGAAATAAAATTTGCTTAGATAAACTTTAATTGTTCTCTTTGATAATTTTAACACAGGGAATGCTATTAACAATTATATCAGGACAAAAGGCACATGGACTGTCCCAGGTAAACCAGGGCTACCCATCTATCCACATCCAGGCTTAACCTGGAAATAGCAAAAGATTCCATGGGCTCTGGGCTCTAGGAGTATATTTTAATTTTAGCCATGAGCTGTTCTCATAGCTAAAACTATTTCCCAAAACAATTCTCAGAATGGAAAACATTTTTATAGCAGCCAAGAGACCAGGTCAACCTGACTTCATCTTAGGATAAGTTGTTCTTTCTAATACTTTGACCAATAAAGAACCAACCAAGCTTCAAGTCTGATTTGCTTAAAAGGTAAGGAAAATAGGGCTGGTCTTCAGCTACAGAATAAACAGAATGATAACATCAAGGCACTGCAGACTGTTCTTCTGAGCACTGTATAGTGTGGTATAAGTATTTAAAAAAAATATTTCACTGCATGTAATTCAGGTAAACCATGAGGTAACTTCTATTCTTCCCCAATGGAATCAGCTGGTAATTGTTAAATTTTAGAAAAATCCCACTTAGCCAAGAACAGTCCTTCTCAAAGTGTGTCATTGGATCAACAACATCAGCATCATCTGGAAACCTGTTAAAAATGCAAATTCTCAGGCTCTGATCCAGACCTTCTCAATCAGAAACTCTGGAGGCAAGGCTTAACAATCTGTGTTTTAACATGATTCTGATGCATGCAAAAGTTTGAGAAACTCTGATCTAGCACTGTACTGTCCAATATGGCAACCGCTAGGTGTGTATGTTACTTAAATTGAAATTAAATAAAATGAAATAAAATATTTAGTTCCTCAGTCACACTATCCACATTTCACACATTCAACAGTCACCTGTGGCTAATGACTACTGTATCGGGCAATGTGGATTACAAGACATTTCCATCATCCCAGAATGTTCTACTAGAAAAGTTCAGGCCTACAGCATCAGGCAGAGTGGTTTTGGCTGGAGCAGGGAATGGAACCTGAAGTCTAATAACTCAGGCATATCCTTTTATGTCCTGATTCTCAGTTTGGCCTCAAAAGAAATGGAGGAGAATTAGTTGTTGTTTAGCTACTGTTGGCACTAAAATTTAACAAGCTATTAAAACATTAATGGGAGCTCTGGAACATTTGTTGTCCTTCAAAAATGCTGATCTTTCTGTGCCAGTAGTCTAGAAAGAAAAGATTAAAGAGGGTATTTCAAAATGAATTGGAGGTGATCAGATTTGGGTTTTGATCTGAACTTCCTTATTTATTAGCCATGACAATAGATGCATTACTTAGTATCATTATACCTTAGTTTTCTTGCGTATAAAATGGTAAGTCCTACCTCATTAGGTTTTGTGATGATCAAATGCAATGATATAGACATAAAAGCACTTGGCTAGCATTCAGTAAATGGAAACAAAAATAATCCCTACAATCTAAAGAGATCAGAAAGAATTTAGAAATAAATCTTTCATATTCATTATCTTAGTCAATATAGAACTATTAATCACTCTGTAGCATTTAGAAGTGATGACCAGAGAAAAGGAAAAAAAAGATGAGAGTTTTACATTGCAAAAGAAATTATAAATGCAAGAAAAAGCTATGTGAAGCTGAGTTCAACAGTAACAAAAATCAGAAGAATTTGGGGAGAGGAATATCTTTTTTACACTTCCTGTAGGATATTAACAGTTTTAATGTTTTAAAGACATACTAAGAAAACCTAAAAAAATTTAATTCACAAAACAGATTAGAAAGGGACTAAATGGTAATGGGAAAAATACAATAAAGATAAAAATAATAATTAAAAAAGAAAATTTTAACAAAAAACAGATTAAGATGATCATTTGTTTAATAAGCTTTGTCACAGGTTAATTTAATTATTAGTATTTCTCCTAGAAGTAAGTTTAAAGAGTCAAATCTTATTTTTACAAGTGTCATTGGTTAAAAAAAAAAAAAACCCACTGTATTAAAAAGAAGAAAACTATTTACTAAAAGAATGAGCATACAGAAAGTCTGCTATAGTCCCTGGCACACAGTTCAGTAAGGGCCTAATGTGTGCTCTATTCACACACTGACAAATATGGGAAGTCAGGATATTTTAGAATTTCATCAGTAATACTTACAATGTTTAAAAAGCAATGCCTAAAGATATCCTTGTAATATTTGATATATTTTTCAAAATTGTGGTAATGATTTATAGATTACAATGCTTTTTTGAGTATGCTTCCTTATAGAACTAGTTAACAAGGAAAAAAGAAATCACACCATAGCACCATAATTTCAGAAAGGTGACTGAAAAAGAGGGAGCAGGGTAAGTAGCAGTAGAGTCTAAGGTGCAGACTGGTGGAGGTGGAGGGATTGGGGTGGTTTGCACCTCTACTTCCCACCTCCTTTCCACAGATTCATTTATCTTTGTCATACTCCAAGGACAGGAACTAGTCATTTCATAGCCCCTTGCCCTGGTCTGGTTTTCTCTATATTCCTACACATTCTTTTACTATACTCCTAAGATTTTACCCCTGAACAAGCTAGCATTAACTCTGTCTTTATTGCAGCTCTGCTAATGGTTTAATTCTTGCCCACCTCTTGCACAATAAGATGTTAATAGTTTCTTACAGTTAACTGAGATTAGGCTTGAGGATGGAAACTCCATCAAAACAACTTATTTGTGCTCTAATTAGACAAAGCAATTTAAAAGTAACAATAAAATTAAGTCATCCTACCAACTTCACATGAAAGCAAGAGTTAACTAAGAGTATTTAATACTACATATACTCTATATCATATCAAAGGGACCTAAGATCTCACATTATTTCAAACAATTCATCATGTCATTACTACTATAAATGCAGAAAACTCATAGGATTCACTGGAGTACTGCGCAGAAGAGTTAACACAGCAGTCCTGAGATCACATCCAGGGTCAGATATTGTACATCAAAGCTGTCAATGCTGCTTTGGGATTGGGGACGTGGATTTGATTGGAAACTCTGAGAGAAAACTGGCTGGGTAAGGCATAAATGATGACAGTGACTCTCAGGAGGGAGTAAAAGGTGGCCTGATGATCAGTAGAGATAAGGAATAAAGACGGAGAGATAAAGGAACACGGGATTGTCATGGCAATGTGGTTTGGGCTACTGAATGTTGGAACAGTGGTCTGTATAAGGAATTCTGTGGTATTCACTAAAAAAAAAAAAAAAAAAAAAAAGAATAGGTTTAACATGGAGAGGGGGTAAAACTGAGGACTCAGTATTTTTACTTTGGAAATTTGTTTTTAATTCCATTGACCCTATCTGGCACAAAGCATTCTCTCTGGCATTGAATTGATGGAAGAAATAAAACTTACCTAGGCTTCACATCATTACAACCTGAAAATATTTCATAGTACAGGATCAGTCTAGCTCCATACTACCACAGAGAGCTTTTACTAAAGAAACAGTAGCTCCTGTGGACCTGTGTCCTTGGGCTGAAGCGTAGGTCCTCAACAAAGAATTTAGAGAATGAACTCTGAAGACTACCAAGCTAGATCTGGGAGGCTGTAGTACCCTCTGAACATGTACTGCTGGGGGAACAGGCTCCTCTGTGCTGAAACAAGCCAGTGGCTGACTGGGATGCAATGTGTATACTCAAAATTGAGGTGCTGTGAGTGAGAGGGAATCTATTGTTAAGAACTGAGACTGGCAAAAATAGCTGACTAAACAGGTTAACACAGGTGTGAAGCAAAGTACTAAAAGTGATTTTCTTAGATGGCTACTAAACTATTTCTAAAGCGGAGTTCCAAAAATGTATTTCAATAATGGAGTCATCTTTGAAATAACTCTATTAACAAAATACTGCTCCAGTTAGGAAAATTTTTAAAAAAATTCAGAGTGGGAAGGAGATTTTCCCATAAAACTGAAATTAAAAGAGAAAATGCTCAACCTGTTTTAGAACTTCCTTGAAGGAAATTTTCAACATCTTATATGAAAAGTCTCCCTCTTTATGCCAACCAGAGACTACTCACCCAGGGGTAGAGCTCGGGTCAAGTTAGTAGCTGGAGGATCTGTTTCTGGAGGACAGAGTTCACAGAAGTCCCAACATGATGGGCAGAGCAGGTTTCCATCGTGAATCCAGCCGTTCATCTGAATACTAACAAAGAGGACCTGCCCAGCCCGACTACACAAATATGAAGTATTCTGGACCCAAACCTTCAGGCCTTGCGGAGAGCAAGAGACCTTTAAACAGAATTAAAAAAAAAGAAATCAGATGAATAAGTATACTGACCTTCTTCTTAATTTGCAGAGAAAAAAATTAGAATTTACTAAAAATATTGGCTATAAAACACAATTTGGGATATAAAAATTTTTAAACGAACATTTATTTCTCAAAGTTGTTTTCTAAAAAGACTTCATGTTAACTTCAATTATGCTACTTAGCTTTAAATATTTCTAAAACTTCTCTCTTGGAACTATCTTGAAAGCTAATGAACGTTTCTGGAAATGCATGTTTGATGGTAGCATATTTTTACTTTACAAGTGGATATAAAGTTGCCCAAGAACTGAATCTGATGAAGGTAGCTGACTAAACTGGTTAACACTAGGTTAACAAAGTTGTGATGTAAAGTACTAAAAGTGACTTTCTCAGGTGGCTATTAAACTATTTCTAAAGGCAATTTCAAAAGAGTTCTAAAATGTATTTCAATAATGCAGTAATTTTCACAATAACTCTATTAATCAATTAAGTCTAAATATAATACTCATTTGGAAATCTAAGTTATAATATGCTTTTAAGAAAATAAACAACAAAGAGTAACCTCTTCCATAGCCTGTGATTCAATGACCCACATCTAATAAGCATCACCATAGCTACAGTGCAATGCAATCTCTTTTAAGTGAGTACTGATTCTTGTGTTTAGTACTGAAGAGGATACCAAAGAAGTTCACAACACAAGGCGGGCCCTCTAACAGCTCTAACTGAGGAAACAAGGGAGAGATATAAATTTTTTTGTCCTAAAGATGTGCATAGGATTTGGATCACAGTGAGGGAGAGAGGTTGTGATCTGCTGGCCATCAGAGTCTGCGTGGTTGAGGAGGGCAAGGACGTAGGGGTGAGGGTAAGTGGAAGAGATATGGACAGATCAAATAACTACGCGTAATGAAGACAATGACAGCCAGATTTCTCAGTGTCAAAGAAAGGAGTTACAAATGTAAAGGGAGAAAACTAAAATGAATCTTTTGGTGTTAGACTGGAATCAAAGATACTGGTGCAAACTCATGGTTATATATTTACACATGTGTGAGTAGTATATACAAAAATTACATAACATAGATTTCCTAGCTCTGTTTATGAAAAAGGCCTGGAGAGCAGCTATATCTCAATAGCAATGAACAGTACATCTAGCCCAGACCTTAGTTTCTAAATACCACACTCCCCTGAAATAAACTAGAACCCCTTGGATAAATGGTTGATTCTAGGCAGGGGCAAAGAAAGTAAAGATGGTCTTAGAATATCTTGCGCTAAAAAACAAGGAAATATTAACAGAAAGATGGGGACAGGCCAAAAAACGAAGGATCCAACCTATAGGGGCTCCCTCTGGCCAAAGCTGGAGCAACTTCAGTATCAAAATAAATAATGATAGCAATGGTAATACTGCCCCCAATACTTGTTAATTAATTAAAACAGAAAAAAAATAACTTGTCAGTGGAGAAGTCTGGTATACTAACACTAACATCACCAGTAAAGGAACAAACAGAAAGAGTGCACCACCAGAAAATGAACATCACTTCTGTGATACTACTGCCCAAAGTACATTACCTGAGTTTAATAAAATATCAGACATCTTTTCTTGTAGAAAAGAAATGGCTTGTAATCTTTAAATATGTCAAGGTTATGAAAGTCAAGAAACGACTAAGGAACTGTTCCAGACTGAAAAACAGAGACATAACAACTACACAACATGTGATTTTAGTCCAGGTCCTATAGCTACAAGGACATTATTGGGACAATTGGCAAAACCTGAATGAGGTCAAAGAATTTTGTGAATCAATGTTAATTTCCTAGTATTTTTGGTAGTATTGTGGTTGTGTATGAAGATATCCTTGTTAGAAGAAATACACATTAAGCCCTGGCCAGTTTGGCTCAGCAGGTTGGGCATCATCCCACAAACCAAAAGGTCACTGGTTCGATTTGCAGTTGGGGCACATGCCTGGGTTGTGGGACAGGTCCCAATTGGGGGCCTGCGGGAGGCAACTGATCCATGTCTCTCTCACACATTGATGTTCTGCTCCCTCTCTTTCTCCCTCCCTTCCCCTCTCTCTAAAAAGAAATAAATAAAATCTTTAAAAAAAACCACATTAATATACAGGGTCCGGCCCAAATAACATCCCTTTCTTACTACAAAATCATAGGCATGTAATTCTATAATATAACAATATCACACGCAAGCATACCATATGACATTTTAGGTGAAACATTCAAATTAAAACTATAAATCATTACACCCATATTATTACCCTACCAACCACACTCAAGCAGACATTACTTCTGCCAGATCCTGTATTTGGGACTAAAAGGGCAGCATGTCAGCAATTTATACTTAAATGACTCAAAACAACATTTTTATACCATTCTTGCAATTTCTGTTGAAATAAGGAAAACAAAAAACACAACAGTTAATATCTATGTGAATTGTTTGGAATCATATACCTTTCCCTTCATAAATACTGGTATTAAATTAGCAAAATTATATAACAATACTAGGTACAGGGAAGCCAAGTAGCACATTTAATCTTTATAGCTGGTGTTTCAAGTCTGCATAATCCCTTTGTGGTGGTGATAAAACATTAAAATAGCCTGAAAAGGTCATCTTCCTATTATAGTTGTCACTGTTCTAACTTTATCCCTTTAACTTAATATTCTCACTTATAGAATTTAATTTCAAAAAATAAATTTTAAGAATTTTAAGAATTTTTATAAGTAAAATATGTAAGTATACTTATAACAGCATTTCCAAATAGTGAAAACTCAATATATAACAAGGAAGTGACCTTCCAAATTATGATGCGATGTTCTACAGTGATAAAGAGTAGTAACTATTATTATTGGAAAAATGTGAAAAAGGTGTTTTGCTCTGCATAAATAGTACTAAGTGAAGGAAGTAAAACAAAATTATGTATTATGATTGCAATAAGTCAAAACTATGTATTTAAATCAATACATAAATCTTAAATGAAATTTATCAGAAAATGGTTGCTCGATTATAGTTGTCAGATTATAGCTAAAGTGTTCATTTTTAATCATCTTTTATATAGTTTTAAAGAAAATATTATATGAATAGTATGATGTGTAAACTGTATCTCAACAAAGTTACTCCAAAAATGTTAATTTTGTAAGTAACTTCAAAAATAATATCTAAGTTCCCAGCTACAGAAGTCCATTTAGTTTTTGCAGCTGAAATGGTACAACAAATTCTTATCTTTCACTTCTCAGGAGCATACTCTCTTCCTTCACATCTATTAGTGGGATACATAATATTCATTAAGTTGAATCCTCTTAAGTTATAGAATCCCTGTGTCTTGATAAGCTTTTATTAAGGTAATACATTCATGTAGTACCAGACATGCAAATAAGATAAAAGTAACTTGCCCCCTTCGGATTTCTACTTTCAAAGAAAAAAACCCCTATTATTAATAAGTAATTTAGTAATTCTTAGAGCTATGCTTTCCTCAGAGCTTATGAAATAAAACTGTAAATTTTTTCCATTCAAAGTAATATCTATTCAAGAACAAAATTATATATTTTCCATTATTTCCTTAGGATGTACTCACAGAAGTAAAATTATTGTAAAACTAGTTGATAGATCAAATATATATTCAAACAAATGGAGAAAGGCAATTTCTCTCAAAAAATGACAATATTTTCACAAAACACAAACATCCAAACTAATATTTACATAAACATAAGCATTAATTAGTAAATTAACTATAAAAAGATAAAATGTATTTTAAAATATAAAAACAAAATAGATAAAATTATATAATATTTGGTATAATTATTAACAATCATTTAATTTACCTGATAACATCCACTCCCCCAGTCTGGGTAACTCAGCTTCCTTTCACACTTTTCCATGACAAAGGCTGATTTCTGAATTAGACAAACTGAATGAGGTCCATACTTTTCAGCACCATAGTTTTTAAAAAGGTCTGAAGCAAACCAGAAAGTTTTCTTAAAAATTGATCATTGGCTCAAAGAACAAGAAATTGATGTATTCCATTCTTATCATTAAAGGTTGTTTTAAAAACAAACATGTTTAACGGAAATTTTCAATAAAAGAAAAATCAGGAGAAAGATGGCTCCAAACTCAAACTGTGTTCTCAAAACAGGAACTAGTGGGAGAAAACTATTATACCAGAAACAAGTGATAAAACTGAGCCTAAAGTATTTAAGTGAGACATACAGAGGAACTGGCACTAAGAATCACTTTCACTGGTAGCCTAAATAGGAGTCACCTCCCAAATGATCCAGAATAGAATGAGGACAACAATTTATATAATGAAATCTTTTCCAGGGTGTTACAACTTTTGCAAAACTTTTTTGTATTTTCAACTTTTGCCATCTAGTTAAATCTGCCAGGTTTAAGAATAAAATACTGTGGAAATTTAAAATTTAAATGACTTAGTCTGTAATGAAGTATGGAATAAGGAAGGAGAGAAGGAAGGATCAGGTTGAGAATTTTGATGACCACAGGAAGAAAAACTACTTATTGATGTTTATTAACATATCAGATGTGAGGACATTTTATTTACAAAGGTGGATAGTATGAGCTATAACTATTATTGCTGAATATCCAACTGCCATATTGTTTATTCTGTTGATAACCTGTTCATTTATATGTATTAAAAAAGAATTAACATGGTAACATCTTACTAGCCATGGACAACAGTATTATTTTGATATCTGAAGAATGGCATGTTATTTCTAAATTACATAAAATGCACATTCCTCAGGAGAGGAAAAAATAGGATACCTAATGTGATTAACTAAAAAGAGCTCTCCATTGGAGAATCTTGCACTAACACCAATTAACATTTAGTGTCTTTTCATTCATCTGTGAAATTCAGTAATATCTTCTCTATGTCTCTCATCAGGTTTTTAGAAGAAAAAAATGCAATGTAAGTCTTGGCATGTGTGGCTCAGTGGTTAGAGTGCCCTTCCTTAACCAAAGGGTTCTGGCTTCAATTCCCAGTCAGGGCACATGCCTGGGCTGCTCATTCATCCTCCATCGGGCCCAGGCTGTGTCCGGACACGTTCAATCCCTGGTCTGGATGCTTCTCTTGCATCGATGTTTCTCTCTCTCCCTTCCTCTCTCTCTCCAAAAAAGCAAATGAAAAATGTCCTCAGGTAAGTATTTTTAAAAAAAGGAATATAAAAATGAAAGTTGTTAGCAAATTAAAAATGTCATGCAGATGTAAGGTATTACTAAAAAGCACAATGTATATACATGTGCAAATCTAATAGCTAGCAATTCTTTCTATGTGTCATGGTTCTAAACTCATATTACATTAATTCATTTAATTCTTAAAACAACTCTATTAGATAGGAATTATCATCCCCTTTGTACAGAAGAGGAAACTAAGACCCAAAGAAGTTAGGTTATTTGCAACAGATGGACCCACAATACAAACCCAGACAGTATAACTCCAAGGTCTATACTCTTAACCACTATTGTACATTGCTGATATACAACTGTAATATGTTTATAACATTTTATTTCACTAGATGACTAACCTGGTTGATTTTCCAATATTCTACAATCTGAGCTGCGCTGATATTCACCACTTAAATGCCAACTGAATTCCTGACTGAAAGGGCAGTAGTCGGCAATTTCTACTGAACCACCATAATAAGGCAAATCTTCTGCAGGTATTCCATTGAGCTCATCAAAGTACTACAAAAAAATTATTAGGAAGACAGGAAAGAAAGAAACATTCTATATAATCAAAACAAAGTGCACAGGCAATTTATAGCAACCCTCTAATGTTGAATAACACAAAGAAGATATTAATGTACTTTTCTTCATATATAGTACGACACAAAGATAGTAATATACTGTATCTCAAGGGTATGTTAAAGTTACTGCAGTTTTGGAAATAAGCCAAGTAAGTAAACGGGTCTAAGTTTTTTATTAGATGACAAATTTGACTAATGCTTTTATAGGATAAATCGGAAGACTTTTAAGAGTTGACAAACCATAAAACAAGTATAGAATTAAGATTTTAAATAAAATGTACTTCAAGTGTCTTTAGGAGACTTAATATGTATGTTGTTTTGACAAACTTGAAGAACTAAAACGCAGAAAATTGAAAATGATCGCCTATATATGTACAATGCTTTCAACACCAAAGGAACAAGCTACCAGATAAATCTTAAAGATTTCATATTTTACCCCAACTCACTGAATTATAGTACTATGTCTAGAAATATAGTTGCCATCATATGGTGTCTGAAACACTGAACGAAAGGTCATCAACAAGTGTAGGAAGCTCAAAATTTAGCTACAATCATTTTAAATTAGCTTCTGAGATACCATTTCTGACTAAAGTGTCCTTTGAAAATGACAGGCAGAGCTAAGGCTTTTTAGAGATAGCCATGGCAACAAAAAACTCAGATACATGGAACAGACTGACGATGTCAGAGGGAAAGGTGATTGTGGGAACTGAAAAAGATTAGCCAAAGAACATATATGCATATATGTAAAGCCCATGGACATAAACAACAATGTGGTGAAGGCTGGGGTGAGGTGGAATGGAGTAGGGTGGGGGGAGTGGGAATGGGGGCTGGGTACACAAGGGCATAGGAGGGAAAAAGAGGGAAATCCATAATAGTGTCAAAAATGTTTTTTCTAAATTTTATTTTAAATCACATTTATTTCATTACAGTTGTCTCAGTTTTTCCCCCTTTGCCCTCTTCGACCCATCCCACCCCGTCTCTCCCCACTCCCATTGTCAATTCCCACTCTGTTGTCCATGTCCATGGGTCATTCATACATGTTCTTTGTCTAGTTCCTTCTTCTTTCCATCACTGTCTTCTTTCCCCATCGCCTCTGGTCACTTTCAGTCTGCTCCATGTTTCCTTGCCTGTGGTTTATTTTGTTCATTAGCTTATTCCATTGAATAGATTTCACCTAAAGGTGAGATCATATGGTATTTGTCTTTCACCAATGGGCTTATTTCACTTAGCATAATGTTCGGCAGTTCCATCCATGATGTCACAAAAGGTAGAAGTTTCTTCTTTCTTTTTCTAAACGCAGATTGATTTCATTTCTTTATTTTTTAATATCAAAATCCATTATAAAACATTAAAAATTAAATCCATTATAAAGTCTCAGCAATTAAAACATGACACCAGGACAGAAATAATCAAGTAAATCAGTGAAATAAAGGAGCATTGTAGAAACAAATGTATATATCTGTTTAACAATGTAATATATGATTAAACTGATATTTCAAATCAAAGGGGAAAATAAGGCTTATTCAACAAATAAGGTGCACGGACCACTATTACTTGAAAAAACAAATATAGAGCCCTATTTCACACATTACAAAAAATATTCAGGTGAGTTAAAAATCAATATGTAAAATTCAAGGAGTTTTCAAATAAAAATCAAAATATTATTTTTCTTACCCTGAAGTAAAATATTCAAACTCAGAAGCTATAAAATAAAATATTGACTGAATATGACTATATTAAACATTTCAGACTATATAGTAATATACAGATAAAAAAAGTTAAAAGACAATAGAATAGAAAAGTATTTGCAACACATCTAAAAAAGGGTTAATAGTTTAGTTCAGTTTTTTTTTCCTTAGGGGAAAAATTCTACAAACATTTAATCAAAAAATGAATAAAGAATACCAAAAAAGTCATTTAAAGCTTTCTAAGAATAATAGAAATAGGCAAGAAATATATAAAACCAGGTTTAGTTTCAACAGATAATAAAGGAACAATTAAAATAACACATCATTGTCACAATCAGATTAATACGTATAAAAATATTGGTAATATCAAGTATTGGCAACTGTGAAAGGAACTGGGTATTCATAGACTCTTTTTCTTCATTTTCTTAAGCAATCTTTTTAGCATATTTTGCAGTGCAGATTTGGTGGAGGTGTATTCTTTTAGCCTTCTTTTGTCGGGGAAACTCCTTATTTTGCCTTCCATTTTAATGGAGAGCCTTGCTGAGTAGAGCAGTCTTGGTTGCAGGCCTTTGCTTTTCATGACCTGGAATATTTCTTGCCATTCCCTTCTGGCTTGAAGTGCTTCTGTTGAGAAGTCAGCTGCTAGCCGTATTGGGGGCTCACTTAGCTGTTACTACCTCTTTCTTCCTTGCTGTCTTTAGGACTCTCTGTTTGTCTTTGCTATTTGCCATCTTAATGATGATGTGTCTTGGAGTGGGCCTCTTTGGGTTCCTCTTGAATGGGATCCTCTGTGCTTCCTGGACTTGTGTGACTTTTTCTCTCCTCCAATTAGGGAAGTTTTCCATCATTACCTTTTCAAACAGGTTCTCTATCCATTGCTCCTCTTCCCCTTCTGGTATCCTTATTCTATGGATAGTACTACGTTTCAGGTTGTCCTGCATTTCCCTCAATGCCTCTTCATTCTTTCTGAGTCATTTTTCATTTTCTTGCTCTTTCTGGGAGCTTTTTTCTACCTTGTCCTTCAGCTCGCTGATTAGATCCTTGGTTTCATCGAGCCTGTTTTTGATTCCTTCAACTGTGTTCAATTCAGAAATCGTGCTCTTCATTTCCTCTTGTCCCTTATTGATAGTTTCTATGTTCTTTTTCATGCTGATAGTTTGCATTAAGTTCCTTGTAGTTTCCCTGTGGTTTTTTATAATTCTCTCTGAGCTCACTAAGCTTCCTTAGAACTGTTGTTTGGAACTCAATATCAAATAGTTGATTTGCCTCTATTTCAATTAGTTCTCTTTCTGGGGATTCCTCCTTTCCCTTTGACTGGCGGGGTGGTGGTGTTTTTTTGTCTTCCCATTATTTGTGAGACCCTTCTCTTGCTTCTGCTTCTTAAATTGATCTGTCTTAATTTCCTGGCTTAGCGATGTGAATTTCTATGGTAGGAGACTGCTGTTTTTTCTTTCTGGATCTGCCTCTGATGATGTCAGATGTTGCCCCTGCCCGATCTTAGACAGTCTATTTGAGACTTCTAGGAATCCACTGTTTGTGGCTGTCTCCTTCAGCTGTTAATCTAGTCACTCTGCACTCAGCAGTCAGGCTTAGACTCCATATGGCAGGGCAGAGTCCCTCCTTGGGGCAGGGCTATTGGGTCCTCTCACGCTGCTGCAGCTCGAGGGAGTGGTCTCCCTGAGCCCAGTGGCTGCTGCTGTATGTGGGAGGAGTCAGCATCGGGATCCCACCAGCTACTCTCTCCTTTCACTCCCCAAAGCCTCTGTCCCCAGTTTTAGCTCAAGTGTCTCTAGACCACTCTGTGCCCGCTTTAGCCAGGGACCTACTATCTGTGGCTACCACTCTGCACTCAGAAGGCCAGCTTAGAGATACCACAGGGTGGGGCCAAGGCCCTCCTGGGGGTGGGGCTATTGGGTCCTTTCACGCTGTTGCCGCTCAGGGGAGTGGTCTGCCTGAGCAAGATGGATGCTGCTGTCTCGGGGATGAGTCAGCACCAGGATCCTCCTGGTACTCTCTCAGTTCTCTTCCCAAAGCCTCCTTCCCCAGTCTCTCCCCAGGCGTCTGTAGCCCATTCTTCCCCGGCTCTTGCTGAAGACCAGGGTAAGTGGCTGCAAATAAAAATTTATGCCTTGGTCTTTTAAAAGGATCTTTGCATCTCCAGCCACCTGTCTCTGCCAGAGAGCAACCCTGCTGCTTTTCACAGCTGGCTGTTATCTGTGTACTTTTTGGGCCTGGTGCTGTAGGCTGGAGATCACCACTTAGGGTTTAGACCCCACTCTTCTCAGGCGGATCCACCTGGCCATTTCAATATCCTTCTGGTGCTGCCGCCCATGGGTGCCCCACCCTCCTTTAGTCTCCACCGCACTGCTTACCAGTTAGATTGCACTAAAGCTGATTCCTCTGTCTCTGAGGTTATAAGGCTCTTCTCTCGCTATTGTTCAGTTGTTTGTTCTGGGTGATTTCTCCACAAGTTAGTTGTAATTCCAGGGCGGTCCTGGGAGGAGGTCAGTGTGACTTCCACTCACTCCTCCACCATCTTGGTTCTCAATAGTGTCAACAATTTTTTTTAAAAAGAGGTCAAATCAGAGGTTCAGATTGGACGTGTGGGACCATTTCGTTCACCTTTTAGATATCTTGAGTTAAACCTTTTCTGAAGTATAATTTCCAAGCCTTTTAATTAATTGGCTCAGAGTACCTCAGTTATTATCTTTAGAGAACTTTGTTTTCAGCCCTTTTTGGTGTGGCTCAGTGGATTGAGTGCTGGCCTGTAAACCAAATGGTCGCCAGTTCATTTCCTAGTCAGGGCACATGCCTGGGTTGCAGGTCAGGTCCCCAGTTGGGAGCCTGTGAGAGGCAACCACGTTGATGCATCTCTCCCTCTCTTCCTCCCTCCCTTCTCTTCTCTCTAAAAATAAATAAATAAAATCTTTAAAAAAAGAAAGAACTCTGTTTTCTGTGTAAATTAGAGGATATTAAAGATGAAGGTTTTGGAAATAATTAGAAAGAAAAACATACAGTTTAAAATATTTAGATCAAAATGATTAAAATATTTTTTAAAATATTTATTTATTTTTATACAGAGGGGAAGGGGGGGAGAAAGAGGGGGAGAAACATCACTGTGTGGTTGCTTCTCGTGCACCCCCTACTGGGGACCTGGCTCGCAACCCTGGCATGTGCCCTGACTGGGAATCAAACCAACGACCCTTTGGTTCGCAGGCCGGTGCTCAAACCACTGAGCCATACCAGCCAGGGCAAAAAAGATAAAAATATTTAGATCAAAATAAATATTTTAAATGTCTCTTAACTATTTCTATAAGGTATTGCCAGATACTAATTACTGTCAATTAGCACATTGGTTATAAAGAAATGGAAGAATTCCTCAGTTTTGTCTGACTTATAGAAAACAAATGAGGCCTTATAAATCAAAAAACTTAAGAGAACTTACTCTTCTAAGTCAAAATGGAAAAAAGTTGATTCTCAAAACTGTGCCCCAAAAATGTTTACCTGGTACTCTTGAGGCAAAGGTTTTGGAAACTTCTGCAAATTACATACTGCAACTGCTCTCTGGTCCTGTCTACAAGTTAACTGCAATGGATTACTTCTGAGGGTGTCACAGTAAGGGCTCAGCATCTGCCTCCTGCATACAAAGATACACACAACAGTATAAAACTGTAAAGAAAATATTACAAGTCTGTTCTTTTCCATTATAAGCTTATCTTTTCCATTATAATTTTAATATGTTTTAATAACTTAAAACTAATTGCTAAATCACGTTATAAACTTGTTTCTCAAAGGGTGAAAGGAACATAATGGAGATATGAAAGATTAACGCTAGATGCATTATAACATTATTTCACTGTTATTAAATAAAATCCTATTTATCTCTTTCTCCACTTTTGTCAGTAAAAGGGAGTTTTAAAGATCTGATTTCATTTTTGATGGCAAATAATGAAAATCCAGATTCTGCCTAAAAATATAAATCTTCATAATTAACAAATGGAGTCTCAGAAACAAATGGAGATGTTGTCCCCTTTGTCCTGCAATTACAAAGAGTGAAATACTTTCTATGCCACAATCAAGTTCAAAGAATCTTGTCTGAAAATTTGTTAATTTAAAAACATTCATAATACAATGTTGTTTTCCTGTGCAAAGTGAAGGTCGTGTGAATATTCCTAATTGTTACAACTTGTTCTGTTCTCTGTTCAAATCTAATCTTGGAGGTACAATTTAGAAAAAAGCGTCCTGAAACTCCCCAAAGGCATCAGAAGCTGATGCACTGTCCTATCTAAATAGCCTTCAAACACACCTATAACTCTGATCAGTTATTGATAATTATAATACAAATATATTAATGTCATAATAGTAATGTTATAAATGAAATTACAGTATTGAAATTCCTAAACAATATAAATCCCATTCAAACTGGTCTGCCAAACTTCAACAAGATCACTAATATTTTTCCACTTCTCTCATATTCTTATTAAGGAAAAAAAATATAGGTTAGATTTATTTTAATGAAAATTGATTCTTGCCTCATTTAACTTATCATAGTATAGCAAAAAAAAAAAAACAATCTCTAGGGAATTACAGCTTCTTGAGATAATATGTGTAAAATACTGATCAGTCTTTGGTAAACCTAAAGTAGCACAGTGTAATAGGAAAACAAAGGTATTGAAGTCGTTACACAGGCTTGGTTTCACATACCAGCTTATTTGGGGTTAACTTTCCTGAGCTTCAAGTATAAGGCCCTCAGTGCCTACCACATATAAGTTACTCACTAAATGTAATTTCACTGTTTATAGCATTTTTATAAAATCTTCATAGAAGGGAATTTTATAACTTTCTATGATTAAGTTTCTAATGAATATGACTAGTAGTTCTTACTAAGGCACCATGAAATGAATTTCCTTTTTCTCTAAAATAAAACAGTACACAATGTTCACTTTAATTAAAAAATGAGTTATTGCTAAATGAATAAAAAAGAACAAGGACGTTCAAAAATAATGATTTAAAAAATCCCAAAAAGTTAGAGTTTGTTCAAGATTCACAGCCTGTATTCCACAGCAGCACTGCCCAATAGAATTTTCTGTAATGTATCTGGTGCTGTGCACAGTGGCCACTAATCATATAGTGGCTATTAACACTTGAAATGTGACTAGTGCAACTGAAGACCAGAATTTTAAATTTTATTTAACTTTAATTAATTTAAATAAAAATTTGTATAGTCAATTGTATCTAGGGGTACCATACTGAAGAGTACAGCTCTGGAGCTGATATTAATGTCAGATCAACTAGGCAGAGAGTTGGGTAATTTATCATTTTTAGTTAGAACCTTATTTTGCATGTGCAGATTCAAGTTATTCAAATAAATATGGCTCTGCCTGTGCTCAGCCATATCCTTTTCACACCAGTCACCCAACAATGGGAAAGAAGGGGTGTTGCAGCTGAACTTAGGCAAAGAAGGGTCATGCTAAAACTTCTGTGATGACTTAGGTATAGCCAGACTTGGACAATGGTGCCAGAAGTTGTTTTTTGTCCTGTAAATACTTGTGGACATTGATACTTTACAAGCAGGACATTTGAATGCTACAACAAGAGTTAGCAAAAGTCAACTTTTTGTCTGCAATGCTAGCCTATAACCTGTTTTTCTCTCCTATGTTTCTCCCACAACCTATATTTGTAAATAAAGTATTACTAGAACATGGCCATGTCCATTCATTTTGTCCATGGCTGCTCCTGATGTATAAAACAGCATTGAGAGTTATGACTACAAGCTGAATGATCCTCAAAGCCTAAAATACTTATATTATTTTTATTTAAAATATTTGTTAAAATAAAATATCTGGCTCTTTATAAAAATAAGTTTGCTAATCTCTAGCTTATGGTTCAAAGGATAGGAGAAAATTCAGGGGACCAACAGTTTCAGTTCTGAAGAATGGAGAGGAGGAAATTTCCTTTTGTTTTGGTTTTAGGTAATCCTGTACCTCAAACCTGAAGGGGAACAAAGAGACTTACAGCTATTAAAAGAAAAAATAATCTCTCTAAACTCTTGCAGCTGCAAAGTTACCTACATACTTCCTTTAATACACTGGAACAGTGGGTCCCAAATTTTGCTGTAGATTGAAATCACCTGGGAATCTCTTTCAACAAAACACTAAAGCCTGGTTCCCACCTCTCCATGTCATGATTTAACTGGTATAGGTAGCAACATGGGCACGGAGATTTTAAAAAATCTCTCTAGATAAGCCCTAGCTGGGTGGTTCAGTTGGCTGGAACATGAGCCTGTACACCAAAGAGTTGTGGGTTCCATTGCCGGTCAGGGTACATGCCTGGGTTGTGGACTCAATCCCTGGTTGAGGCAACCAAGCAATGTTTCCCTCTCACATGAGAGAGAGAGAGACAGAGACAGAGACAGAGAGACAGACAGAGAGAGAAAGAGTGTCTCTCTACCTCCCCCCTCAACTGTTTCCTCTCTCTAAAATCAATGACATATCCTCAAGTGAGGATTTAAACAAGTTCTCTAGATGATTCTGATGTGCAGCAAAATTTGGGAATCAATATACTAGGAAATCAAGCTGTAATGCTAGAGTTAACTAGCTGTCTCCAAAGTAGCTGTAGGTGCTTTCTGTTACTGCTTATTAGCTACTCTTTTTACAGCGGGGTTGTAACTAAGGTGTCAGACTTATTAGTAGAAACTGTGAGCAGTATAAATTGCTTTGAGACCTAACCCAGGTAAGAAATGATAAGAATAACATCTTCTACAGCAAAAGAAGTACCTGTGATTTAATGGGCAAGATGCTAAAATTGGAGAGAAGTTCAAGTCCCGGCTCTGTCCTTTGTCAGCTATATGACCCCGAGCAAGTCACTTATCTAAAACTTTTTACTTATCAGTAAAACAAAGATACTAGTTTATTTAAAATTTGTATTTCAAAAAATATATAATTTTTTATGAATTAAGCTGAACAGAAACGTTTTACAGCTCTGGCTCTCACACTAGATTCCTTAAGTACCTGATTTAAAACAGGACTGCAACTATATCATCAAGCACCACAATATATGAACTGTTTAGACCAAATTTTGAAAACAGTGACATTGTAGGCTCCAGATAATGAACAAAATCAGAAATAAATTGTATTATCAAACAGTATGAGGAAATGTATTCTTACTCTTTTCTCTGCTGATCAATCCAGAATTTACAGCTCTTCCTGACAAAGTCACAGCCCATTCCTCGGCCCCAGTCTAGCTTCTCAGCCATGCTATAATTAGCTTTATACCAACTGTGGAAATAATTCAAACAAAGCACTTTTTATTACTGTCATATAAAAAAAAAGTTACAGCATACCAATGACAGATCTCAACAATGAGAAAACCACTGCCTCATAAAGGACTTTGCCACAGATAAGCATTACTAAGAAAGCCCTTGTTGCACAGGATCACTGGAGCAGGGACTGGGAAACTTCAGTCTTATGGTGAGGGTATTCATAGTTGAAGAAAACAAGAACAAACCATGTTTCCGTTGTAATTTCCAAGGATGACAGAAGTCACAGAATAGAAACTGGATCAGGTGTGAAACAAGGGGAATAAGAACCAAAGAAACAGAAAGAGAATGAGAGGAAAAAAAAAAGGGAGTAAACTGAGAAATAAACATTGGAATTACTGGTTGGCTAGCCTTTACCTAATCTGATTGTGCTGGCCCTATTTCCTTGCTTCTCTGGCCTTGAATTTGTACTTTATCAATACAGGCCCTGTTTATGACTAAACAATACACCATTATTATAAGACAAATGAATACAATGTGCAATACTTTTTAAATGTTCTCATTTCAGGAAAAAACTAATTGATTTAGTGTCCTGGAAAATTTAATCAACAAGCTTACTTTTATTAGTCTTTCTTTTTTAAATCACTTTTTTATTTATCAATTACAATTGACAGTCAATATTTTATTAGTTTTGGGTGTATACCCCAGTGATTAGCTATATAACTTACTAAGTGATCATTCCCTATAAATCTTGTACCGATCTGACCCCATACAGTTATTAGAATATTACTGACTATAATCCCTATGCTGTATTTTATATCTCATGACTATTCTATAATAACCAATTTGAATTTCTTAATCCCTTCACCTTTTTCACCTGTTCCCTCAACCCCCCTTCCATCTGGCAACTGTCAAAATATTCTTTGTATCTACAATTCTGCTTCTGTTTGTTCGTTTATTTTTTTTAGATTCAGTTGTTGAGAGTTATATACTTACTGCCATTTTACTGTTCATTTTTTTAAATCTTTTTTTCCTTCTTAAAAAAGACCATTTAACATTTCATGTAATACTGGTTTGGTATAGGATGAACTCCTTTAGCTTTTTCTTGTCTGGGAAGCTCCTTATATGTCCTTCAATTCTAAATGATAGCTTTGCCGACTAAGAAAATCTTGGTTGTAGGTCCTTGCTTTTCATCCCTGAGTATTTTTTGCCACTCCTAACTAGCCAGCAAAGTTTGTTGAGAAATTAACTGACAGTCTTATGGGAACTCCCTTGTAGGTAACTAACTGCTTTTCTCTTGCTGCTTTTAAGATTCCTTCTTTGTCTTTAATCTTTAACATTTTAATTATGATGTGTCTTGGTGTGGGCCTCTTTGGGTTCATCTTGTTTGGAACTCCCTGTGCTTTCTGGACTTGTATGTCTATTTCATTCACCAGGTTTTGAAAGGTTTCTGCCATTATTTTTTCAAATAGGTTTTCAATGTCTTGCTCTTTTCCTTCCAGCATCCCCATGATGCGAATGTTGACATGCTTGAAGTTTTCCTACAGGCTCCTTACATTTATCTTCATTTTTTTAGTTCTTTTTTTCTGTTTGCTGTTCTGATTGGGTGTTTTTTGCTTCCTTACATTCCAAATTGCTGATCTGATTCTCGGCTTTATTTACTCTACTATTGATTCCCTATACATTAGTCTTCATTTTGGTTAGTGTATCCTTCATTTCTGACTGGTTTTGTTTTATGGTGTCTCTCTACTTTTTCATACTGATGAATTTCTCATTAACTACCTTAAGTTCTCACTAAGTTCCTTCATCATTCTTATAACCATTGTTTGAACTCTGTCTAGTAGTTCGCTTGACTCCATTTCATTTTATTTTGTTCCTTTTCTGGAGATTTCTCCTGTTCTTTCATTTGGGACTGTTTCTTTGTCTCAACATTTTGGCTGCTTCCCAATATCTGTTTCTATGTGTTAGGTATAGCTGCTATGTCTCCTGGACTTGGTAGAGTAGCCTTATTGTCCTTAGGGTCCAGTAATGCAAACTCCCCAGTTATCCAACCTAGGCACTCCAGGTGTACCCCCAGGCCAATCAGCTGCAAGGACATGCTGTAACTACAGCAGAGGACCTGCTGCACAGGAGTTGACCCTACAGAGCAGGACTTGCTTCAGTGGGTATTTGGTGCTCATTGAGTTTTTACCTTGAGTACATTGCTCGTGAAGGTGGTAGGGTTGTAATTTGATGTGCTGTGAAGCTGTCCACCAAGTGCATTGGCTCTAGGGCCTCCCAGGAGGTATGTGGTCAGCCACCACTTGTGCCCTGCCTGGGGCCAGCCGGCAAGAGCTACAGAGCAAACTGCAGATGGATGATACTTATGCTGGGCTTGGAGGTGCCCAGAAGAGGCCAGTCTGTGACCCAAGGTCTGCTGCCATGACTGCTGGGTCTGGGGCTACTTCGCAAGAGGTATGGGGTATGCAGAGGCCAGATGCTGCTTGTTGGAGAGATTTTGGGAAAGTCCAAAGCATGAGGTAAGAGAGGCCATTTGTATGGAAAAGCCACTAGAAATGATTTGGGTGGGCCTGAAAGTTGAGTGGAGCTGGGCCTCAGGGAATCACCAGAGCAGGGCGAACAATGCCAGCCAGTTTGATGGAGACTTAGATATGGTACCTATGTGCTGGCTCTGTATGGGTGAGGTCTCAGAAAACAAGCAAGGCCTCTGCCAGCACTTTTGTCTGGAAGAAAGCTGCCCTCCACTCCACCCACCCATCATGATGTCAGACAATTCAGTTCCTTCCTGTATGTACCTGGTTCCTTTCAAGCTACTGCTCCAGTGTGGGAGCTTAAAGGGAGTGAGAGTAAGTTGGTGCTTAGGCCCTTTAGGGGGAACTGCCTGGGACTCCAGAAGCTTTAGATCTCACTCAGCCACAATTCCCACTGGTTTCTACAGCCAGAAGTTATGGGGACTTCTCTTCCTGACACTGGAACCCTGGGCTGGGAGGCTTGGTGTGGAGCTGGGATCCCACACTCCTCACAGGGAATCTCCTCAACTGAGATATCCCTTCTAATTTTAAACTGCCACATGTGGGTGTGGTACCATGTCTTCGCCCTTCCTACCAGTCTCGATGTGGCTGCTTCTTTAAATGCCTAGTTGTAGGACTTCCATTCAGCTAGATTTCAGGTAGCTTTGAATGATGGTTATTTTGCAGTTTAGTTGTAAATTTGATGTCTCTTCTTTGTTCTTAATAACAAGGTTAACTTACAAAAAGTTATAAAATTATATAAAATAATTTCTTACCTGTTCATAATTAAATGTTATCCTTTTAGCATTAACAAGTCACTAAATAAAAACACAGGCTCAAGTGCTAGGGGAATGACAAGAATCATGCCCTCCACTCCAGCCATCTTCCCACAAAATCAAACAAAATTAAAAGAAGAAATATATGATGTAGGATCCTCCAAAATTCCTCTTCTTTCAAAGGACAGAGTTGTTTGACTCAGTAGGAAATCTAAACTAGTCTGGGAATTAGGAAATGTTGTTTTGTTTTGTTTTTTTTGAAAAAGCAACTTGAAGCTAAATTTAATGGGATGAGCATAAGTTAGCTGAGGAAGTGGGGCAGAGGGGGCATTAAAAATAGGGTTTCTTAGTGGCATTAGTGGGTTGTGAAATTAATTTAGGTGGATTTTAATCAACATTTCTCTCTTTCTTTAAAAATCAAGAGTACAAAAAAGGACTTCATTGTAGGTAGTAAGGGTAAACACTGTTTCATGAAACTTTGGTTCAGTTTTATATTCAGGTGAAGCAAACGTAGGTTAACAGTTGTTTGTATGGAAAATAATACAATTAATAAATAAAATAATAATAATACAAGAATACTGTTTTATGTACTCACAATTGTAAACCTACTTTTGCCCCACTCTGTATAATAGCTAATACTTAGTTGGTACTTACAATGTACCGAGCCGAGCACTGTACTAAGGACATTATAATATATTAACTCATTGAAGCAACATAAAACTGTGAGGTGTATCACTTTTATCCCTATCTTATAGGTGAAAGAACTGAGGCAAAGATGCAGCTATTAAGTGGCAGAGCTGGAATTTGTATCTAGGGTTCTGGTTTCAATGTCTGTGGGCCTTTAAAAAAATTGAGATATAATCACATATCCAAAACTTCACCCTGATCATGTGTACAACTCAATGTTTTTAGCATATTCACAAGCTTGTACAAACATTACCATTATCTAACTTCAGAACACTTTCATTGTCCCCCCTCCCCAGAAACAATGTACCCATCGGCAGTCACTCCCACTGGCAATCACTGATCTATTACCTGTCTCTATGGATTTGCCTATTCTAGATATATCACAGAAATGGAAAGTAGTATTTTATGTCTGGATTCTTTCATTTAGCATAATGATTTAAAGGTTGATGCCTGTTGAAGCATTTATTAGTACTGCGATCTTTTTTAAAATCAATTTTATTTTCTAGAACAATTTTAGATTCACAGCAAAACTGAGAGGAAAATAAAGAGTTCTCATATATCCCTTGCCCCTCCCCATACACATAACATACCCTATTTCTCTACCAACATCCTGCAACAAAGTGCTACATTTGTTACAATCAATGAAGCTATATTGACACATCCTTATCACCCAAAGTCCATAGTTTGCATTAAGGTTCACTCTTGGTATAAATTTTATGGGTTTGGGCAAGTGTATCCACAATTACAGTATCATATAGAATAATTTCAGTGCCTTTAAAATCCTCTGTGTTTTTCCTATTCTGCCCTCCCCAAACTAACCCCTGGACCATTGATCTTTTTATTGTCTCCATAGCTTTGCCTTTTCCAGAATGCCATATACTTGGAAACATAGAGTATGTAGTCTTTTAGGATTGGTTTCACTTAGTAACATGCATTTAAGGTTTTCCCATATCTTTGCGTAGCTTGAAAGTGCATTTCTTTTTATCTCTGAATAATAATCCATACACTGAATGTACTCCAGTTTATTTATCCATTCACATACTGAA